GCTGTTTAGACAAGTTAGAACCTGAGATTGAGTTGAGAGCATTTGGCCTTTAGCCATTTCTAAATCGCACAGCCAGATGTTAATGCAAATCCAAGGTCGTTGCTGACACTCCAGCAGTAGAGCTCAGCTCTTGCCCTTAGAGAATATGGCAGCCACTTTCTCCATAGGGGTTCCCAGAAACCAGGCACAAATGTGGAAGCCCCCCTCTGGCTGCTTGCTGATGGTGAGGGTGCTGTGAGTGTGTGCAGCCTGATCTGGTGGCCTGAACCTCCTCGAGAGGGTGCAGGGGGACCACAGCTGACTGACGGGGGAGCAGCTTGAAGATGTGGACGGGCGGGGATAAGAAGCATAAATATTGATGCTGTCCTGGCCCTCCTAGTGGTCAGCACAGAGCCTCAGGAGCAGAGCGGTGAAGAGCTGGGGACAGGAGAGTTTGTCTTTGGACAGAAGGCCTGAGGAAGACACGTGTTCCCTGCAACGCACAGACAGGGTCTGGGACCACGCAAAACAGCAGGTGTGCGTTTCAGGGAACATGAGTTTTTCTGTGGGGCCCTCTGTAGGAAGCTGGGCAGGAGCAGGGTGAGGCGGGGGGCTCAGCTTGCAGCTTCAGACCTCGGTGGGGGGGGGCGCCCTGCCCTTGCAAACCCATCTTGCCCTAACTGTCTCCCAAAGGCCTTGTCTCCAGATACCTCACCATGGGGTCATGGCTTCAACAGAGGAATTTGGTGGGGGGGCGCAGTTCCATCCAATGCAGGGAGTGACATGCTCAGGCCGTGCCTGGGCACTCAGGGTGGGTGGCTGTGTCCATCTTCCAGGGAACCAAGACACACCAGGGTATGTCCTGGGGAAAGGCAGGCAGGCTGGGGCAGGGACTGAGGGTTTCTAGCTGGGTAAAGGGAAGATTTCAGACAAACAACAGTTTTTAAATGTTTGGGGGACTCTTGGAGAAAGTGAATTCAGCTGGCTTTCAATTTCTGTGGGTCAAAACCAGGCTTGCTGGGCAGACCCAGCAGAGTGGCAACTTCCCTGCTCCCCCGCCCGGAGAGCTGACCGCAGTGAAGCCGCGCCTTCAGTCACACTCCAGGGTAGAGTTGCAGTGGCCGACGTCCTCCCTTGCAGTGAGCTCTGCGCATGTGCGCCGCAGCTGGTCGAGCCTTGCAGTGGAGCTCTGTGCATGTGCACCGCGGCTGGTCGATCCTTGCAGTGAGCTCTGCGCATGTGCACCGAGGTTGGTCGAGCCTTGCAGTGAGCTCTGCGCATGTGCACCGAGGCTGGTCGATCCTTGCAGTGGAGCTCTGCACATGTGCACTGAGGCTGGTCGATCCTTGCAGTGAGCTCTGCGCATGTGCACCGCGGCTGGTCGATGGAGCTCTGTGCATGTGCACTGGCTGGTTGATCCTTGCAGTGGAGCTCTGCACATGTGCACCGAGGCTGGTCGATCCTTGCAGTGAGCTCTGCGCATGTGCACCGAGGCTGGTCGATCCTTGCAGTGAGCTCTGCACATGTGCACTGAGGCTGGTCGATCCTTGCAGTGAGCTCTGCGCATGTGCACCGCGGCTGGTTGATCCTTGCAGTGAGCTCTGTGCATGTGCACCGAGGCTGGTCGATCCTTGCAGTGAGCTCTGTGCATGTGCACCGCGGCTGGTCGATGGAGCTCTGTGCATGTGCACCGTGGCTGGTCGATGGAGCTCTGTGCATGTGCACCGGCTGGTCGATCCTTGCAGTGGAGCTCTGCGCATGTGCACCGAGGCTGGTCGATCCTTGCAGTGGAGCTCTGCACACGTGCACTGAGGCTGGTCGATCCTTGCAGTGAGCTCTGCGCATGTGCACCGCGGCTGGTCGATGGAGCTCTGTGCATGTGCACCGCGGCTGGTCGATGGAGCTCTGTGCATGTGCACCGCGGCTGGTCGATGGAGCTCTGTGCATGTGCACCGGCTGGTTGATCCTTGCAGTGGAGCTCTGTGCATGTGCACTGGCTGGTCGATCCTTGCAGTGAAGCTCTGTGCATGTGCACCGGCTGGTCGATCCTTGCAGTGGAGCTCTGCACATGTGCACCGAGGCTGGTCGATCCTTGCAGTGGAGTTCTGCACATGTGCACCGAGGCTGGTCGATCCTTGCAGTGAGCTCTGCGCATGTGCACCGCGGCTGGTCGATGGAGCTCTGTGCATGTGCACCGCGGCTGGTCGATGGAGCTCTGTGCATGTGCACCGCAGCTGGTCGATGGAGCTCTGTGCATGTGCACCGCGGCTGGTCGATGGAGCTCTGTGCATGTGCACCGCGGCTGGTCGATGGAGCTCTGTGCATGTGCACCGGCTGGTTGATCCTTGCAGTGGAGCTCTGCGCATGTGCACCGAGGCTGGTCGATCCTTGCAGTGAGCTCTGCGCATGTGCACCGCGGCTGGTCGATGGAGCTCTGTGCATGTGCACCGCGGCTGGTTTATCGAAGCTGTTGGTCCCGGTCACCCTTCTCTCTCCCTGCTCTGGCATCTTGCTGCTATGAAATCTCCAGGTTGGAATAGTCATGACCCAACAGCAGGCATGGGTGCCCAGCACCTGCCGTAGGAAGAGCAGGCCAGGTGGCTTCAGCAGGTGCTGGGCACACAGGCTGCTGTGGAGCGGGATTCAGAACAGTGCAGGGCTGGTGCCCTGAGGAGGAGGGTGACACACTGAGCACTCCCTCTGGTGTGGGGTATGCCCCTCCCTCCGTGAGACCTCCTGGCTGTCTGCCCGGTCCTGGGCCTGCCTGGGTCTTGGGCCCTGTCCTCACTGGGTGCCCCCCCAGCATCAGTGCCTCTCATTGCTTCGCTGTGTCCCTGGCTGCTCTGCTCTCCTTTGGTCCCTCCCTGAGCTCCTCTTCCTCACCTGGGGCTCCTGAGGGCCGCGCCAGCCCCTGCCTCCCACTGGGAGCTTCTCTCCAGTGCCCTCTGTCTCCCCTGCCTGTCCCCATCTCCCCACCTGCCCCGTGGCCTCCGCCTCTGTGCCTCTCCAAAGCCGCCTTTCCCTGCCCCCACATCGGGGAGGGCTTGCTGCCCAGTTCCGCCGTGTGCGCCTCACCCACGGGTCCCATCAGGCACGAGGCTCTGCCAACACTGCCTTCTGGGTGTCTCTCAATCTGGGCAGCTCTTCCCACCCTCCCAGACCCTGCCTGCCGTGACCCCCTTCACCCCGGCCTCTGCCCTCGGCCTCCTTTCGGGCCTCCCAGTCTCTCCCGCTGATGTTGCTGGACACAGGTCTGATCTCGCTGCCCTGTTCTCCAACCCTCCGCAACCCCCATAGCACGGAGCATGCACCACGCCCTCTCCTGTGCTTTCCTAGGCTCTGAGGACGGACGAGGAAACTGCATCCCATGCCCCTTTTCTGTTCCCTTCCTCTCACCTGCGCTGCAGTTGCTGGACGGCTTCCCCGATGCACCAGCAGGCCGTGAGCTCTGACTCTGGCAGCCGGCGCCCTGAACAGTGGGTGGCACACAGTGTCCAGTACACGAAGCAGAGTCACTTCCGTCCTGGCTGGGCCCAGCCTGGGCGCCATTAGGTTTGCCCCCTGCCTCCCTCATCCCCCCATTGTCCCTCAGGCTGGATGTGGCCCGCAGCTGCCAGCATCAGGAGAGCAGCCTGGGCCTCAGAGCAGCAGAGCGTGGCTCTGGTCCTGGCTCTGCCATGCTGGGCTGTGTCATTTTCATAGCACATAAGAGAATGCATGTGAATGCGCTTTGTGGATCAAGGCTGCGTTTTTATGCAACGTAAGCCAGTTTTTTGGGTGTGTATGTGGTTTCACTTTAGCAAAGCTCACTGAAGTCTGTATTCCATTCTCTGGTTTCTATTTATTCTGAATTGAGGGAATGTTACATCTGCTTTGTAAAACAGACTAGGAGTTCCTGGCAGGGCAGACCTTGGTTCTAAGGAGGCAGGTGGCATCATGGAGGGACAGAGTGTTATCTGCGTGTAGTAGGAAGCCCTTCCCACCACCACCATCTTGCAGGATGGCCCACATTGAATTTCAGTATTTCCTGTAACAGTGGGTCATGACTGATCATGAATTCCTAACAATGTGTAAACATGTCCATGAAAAAAAAATGACTGAGTTAAATCGGATTGCCTGTTCTTTTCCTGGTTTTGCCCTATGTACTTGTTTGCTGTTTGCTGCTTGGGCTGGTGATCAGTGGTAATCACCAGCAAACAGGTAGGAGCAGATGCTGAGGGCTTAACACTCCATGAGGGGAGTGCTGAGAAACTCCTGCCACGCACTTAACTTGTTCTAGAGACTGGGTGACGGTGGCACTCTTAGGGCTTGGTCCAGTGATCACAGAGACAGTCCTGTGGGATCTTGGTGTACCTTTTGCTATGAATAGAAGGAGAAGGGTGGGGGACACACACTGCCTCACACCACTGCTGCACACACCCAGGCCGGGGACAGGGGCCAGCAGGTCTCAGGGATTGGGCATACTGCTCTAGAGCAGGTCAAGTCGGGAGGCATCTGGTGAACTGCTCCTGTGACCCTCCTCCCTGGCTCAAGTTCACACACCAGAGAGGAGCTGGGGCTTTCCCACCCACCCCCTACCCCCACACCATGTTCCGGACAGTGCTGGTTATGTTCATGCCTGCAGAGAGTGGGTGTGTGATGCGGGGGTGCAGGAGGAAGAGCTGGGAGGCATTGCCTTGCTGGGTTGGAGGAAAGGCAAGCTCTCCCCTCACACAGGCATGGAGGGGATGGGCTGTGGTTGGGTCTGGAACTTAGGGATGCCCCGTTTGGCCCCTCCATTCTATAGTGTGTGTGACTTCTAAGGGGAGCACATTGTTCTCCGGGAGCTGCATCAACAGGCAGCCTCCCTGTGACAGTCACATATGTGACCCTGAAGACATGCAGAGCTGTCTTTCTTGTCTCTTCTATGTGTCTGTGTTGTTAGTGGGGAGGGCCATCAGGTCACCTGGGCATGTGTGTGATGGAGGAGGCCACAGGGTCATCTGTGCATCAACCAACTTTGTTCTTATTGTTTTCTACAGGAGACATGGGGGACAAAGGACAGAAAGGCAATGTGGGTCGCCATGGAAAAATCGGTCCCATTGGCTCTAAAGGTATTTGTGATTCGATTCTTGCCTCATTTCCCCAGCCCCAGGCTCAGGGTCTGGATACCCTGAGAATAACTCTAGCCTGAACCATCTTGTCTGGTGCACGTACTTATTTTCTGGGCACAGTGGATAAGAAATCTGCTGCAGTGCTTACCTTTTTGGGGTGCTTGGAGCTAGTTGCTGGCTCTGTGCCTGCAGGGTGGGGTGAAGTGCCCCCCGTTCTGCGGGATTTTCACAGCGCCCCAGGAAGGAGGCTGCAGCTATCGCGTGTGGGCAAGACTCTGGCTGTGCAGCCACAAAGTCCTTAACAAGTCTGGTAACACACTTTGCGCCTCACGTAAGAAGCGGACAGACCCTGCTTGGGAGATGTGGTGTCTGCTCCCCACCAGCTCGAGTCTCTCAGGTGTTTCGAGATGATGGGTTGATTCTTGGTGAGAACAGGGCTGGGATGGCAGCAGTGGGTGTGAACAGCAACTATGGTGCCCACCCAGGCTCAGGCCGCACCTGTGGGTTCTAATCGCACTGTCTCCGCTGTTGCATGGCCTTGGTGAGGTGGGCAGATCAGCTGTGCCTCCCTGATGAAAGACTGAGGCCAGGACAGCCAAGGGGTTGCTCAGAAGGCTGCTCCTATGCCCCCGGGGCCATCTGTCAGTGGACATCTTTGGAGCGCTTGGCTTGTTCCAGGCTCGTGCTGGGCTTCGGGGGACAGAGCTGGTGGGAGGGCAAGGAGCTGGCCGTCCCTGAGCTCTGCGGTGTAGACTCATGAGTCTCCAAGGGTCCTGCACAGTGTGACAATGCGGCTGAGCTGCCCTGAGCACCGGCGGTAGGGGAGTCTGCTGTGGTCTGTCCGATTCTGGGGCCAGGTTCTACCTCATTCATCTGTCCCAGAGCAGGATGGCCCAGGTACCAAGAGGCCACGCTCTGGGCTTGAGCTGTGAGGGGTTCTGGTGGTTTGCTTGGATCCGTGGTCACAGACTTCCCGCTAGCCCAGCCTGTACCTGGCAGAAAGGGGTCTGTGGCCATGAGAGCAATGCGGAGGGGCCCAGCTCAGCCTCGGGCCTCCTCCTGGAAGGCACCTTCCCTGCCACGGCCAATCCAGGAAAGAGCATGCAGAGAACCACGGGATCCAAGGGAGGTGTGGGCTTCACAAACCCACCTGACGTTATGGTAAAAGACTTATGGCCCCAAACTTGCCATTTTAAGTATTTTAAGTGCATAGTTCAGTGGCACCGAGTATATTCCAATGTCGTCCGGCCATTACCGTTTCCAAAACCCTTCTGTCTCTCCAAAGAGAAACTCTGTACGCACCAGGTGGTGGCTCCCCGTTCTTCCTTCCCTACCCTGGTCACCTCCAATCTGCTTTCTGTCTCTGAATTGAGCCATTCTAGGTATTTCACATCTGTGCAATTTTAACAACGTTTGTCCTTTTGTGTCTAGCTGATTTCACTTAGTGTCATGTTTTCAGGGTTCGCCTATGTGGCAGTGTGGTCAGAATTCCCTGTTTAAGGAATTATGTTCCACTGTATGGATGGACCACATTTGTTATCCATTCACCTGTCGATGGACACGTGGGCTCCTTCCACCTGTGGCCTCTTGTGAATAACGCCACGTTGCACGCCGACACGCACACAGGGATGTGCACACTTTTCCCATACGGTGTGTGCTCTAGGTGGATTCCAGTGTCTCCTAAGGGGCAGCTGGGCCAGGCCGGCCTTGTTTACCTTTGCTGAGATTGTCGTCCTGGGTTCTGGTCAAGCTGTGCTTTCATTTCCAGCCTTCGATGCTAATAAAAGAACATAAAGGAATCAGGTGGGTGGAGGCTGAACTCCTTCCCTCCTTCTGTGAATGGAATCTGGACCCACACGCGTCCCTTCGCAGAGGGTTTAGGTCCTCTCCGTGAGAATAAAGCAAATGTCTTAGGGCTTGTTTCTTTCTTTCTTTCTTTTTTTTTTTTTTGAGATGGAGTCTTGCTCTGTCGCCCAGGCTGGAGGGCAGTGGCGTGATCTTGGCTCACTGCAACCCCTACCTCCTGGGTTCAAGCAATTCTCCTGCCTCAGCCTTGTGAGTAGCTGGGATTACAGGCGCGCGCCACCATGCCCGGCTAATATTTTGTATTTTAGTAGAGATGGGGTTTCACTGTGTTAGCCAGGATGGTCTTGATCTCCTGACCTCGTGATCCACTGGTCTTGGCCTCCCAAAGTGCTGGGATTACGGGCATGAACCACTGTGCCCAGCCGGGACTTGTTTCTATTAAGTCGCACGACTTAACTTCAGAGCCGCTGGAAAGTCCTGTTGCCATAATTTTGTTCACCCCCCTTGTTTCGTAAGTTGAGGGGCAGGGTGGTAAGATGGCTTGTCCCACCTAATAGGAAGTTGGGTCCAGGCCAGGATGGGGTCCAGGGCCCCTGGCCTCTGGGCCCTCCAGGACATCAGGCTGCCATGAGCTGGGGCAGGAAAGACTATTGGATTGGATGAGCTCTGAGGCTGGCCCTGCGCTCCCATTTCGTGCTCGATATGGATCTTCCTGATGTTTTGAGAGACATGGGGGCGGGGGAGGGGATGGTGCTGTTTTCAGGAGTGGCCGCTCACTCATGTCACCAGGGATTCATGAGACGGGGTCTGCAGAGTGTTTGTCAGGTATCCTGGATTTTCCAGAACCTACTTAAAGAATGATCACCTGATAATCCCCATCACCCCACGACACGTGTATGCTTCATATCACATAAAAAGCACCGGAAGCAGGAATTGCCTGCAGACTGGAGCTCCGGCACGTCACAGCTACAAGAGGGCCTGGGAGAAATCCACCAGAGAAATCTCATTTTCAGTCTTGATGTCTTTAATGCGTAGATCACATCCGCCTCTTCATAGTGACTTGGACCTTGTGTTTCGTTTTCAGGTGAGAAAGGAGATTCTGGTGACATAGGACCCCCTGGTCCTGATGGCGAACCAGGTATGGCATAAAGCGTCCAAGGATTTTTAATAAAACGTATTCAAACTTGCAGTTTTGAAAACAATGTAAGTCGTTAAATAGAAGTGCAACGTGCTGGGGAACAGAGCAGGTGCCGGACATGCGGTCCCCGTGCCCGTGATAGTCTCAGAGATGCTTCCGTGTTTGATTTCCTTCCACCTGAATGTGTGACGACCTCTCAGGAGCATCGTCTGCCTGTCCACGGTGTTATTCTATCTGTGTGCATAGTGGGGCTCAGTGATGCCGGTCCCAGGGTGAGCATTCTCCAGCTCTTTACCTCTGTGGGCACTAGGGGTCTCCTCCTACCACCAGATTTCTCAGAAGGCACATCTGAACTCTGCGGCTCTTTCCCTGGTTTCACACGTCCCTGCAGCCGACTCCCCCAATGGTGCTCCACTGATACAACTCCCCTTGGAGGTCCCAGAAGCTGGGGTCCAGCCCAGGTGGTCCCAGGGAGATTGGGTCCAGCCCAGGGAGCTTGGGTCCAGCACAGGTGGACGTGGCTTCCCTATGGGGCACCTGCTTCCTGCTGCTGAGTCACCAGGACACCACGTGCCCTGTCCTCTGCCCCTGCCCTCTGCCCACCTTCACGCCCCCCACTCTGCTCTTTTCCTCCCAAAGCTCCTTCTGCAGCCCTCTGCTCCCACCCCAGAACGGTGACCTCCTTCAGCCCCTACACAGTGGCCCTCATGAGGTCAAGCCCCAAGGACCCGTGTCTGGTGGGCATCTCCACTGGGGGCCTCATGCTCCCCATCTTGCTCACTGTCGCTCTTCCCTCATGCCCTGAATCACCCACACTGAACACTCATGCCCCACGCACACCCCACACTGCACACCCACCCCTCACACCCCACACTGCATGCTCACCCTTCACACCCCACACTGCACACCCACCCCCTCACATTCTGCACTGCACGCCCACACGCTCACACCCCAGTGTATGCTCACCCCTCACACCCCACACTGCACACTCACCCCTCACACCCCACACTGCACACTCACCCCTCACACCCCACACTGCACGCTCACCCCTCACACCCCTCATTGCACACTCACCCCTCACACCCTACACTACACGCTCACCCCTCACACCCCTCACTGCACACTCACCCCTCACACCCCACACTGCACGCTCACCCCTCACACCCCACACTGCACGCTCACCCCTTACACCCTACACTGCACTCCACCCGTCACACCCCACACTGCACACTCACCCCTCACACCCCACACTGCACACTCACCCCTCACACCCTACACTGCACACTCACCCCTCACACCCCTCACTGCACACTCACCCCTCACACCCTACACTGCACACTCACCCCTCACACCCCTCACTGCACACTCACCCCTCACACCCCTCACTGCACACTCACCCCTCACACCCCTCACTGCACTCTCACCCCTCACACCCCACACTGCACTCCACCCATCACACCCCACACTGCACGCTCACCCTTCACACCCCACACTGCACGCTCACCCCTCACACTCCTCACTGCACTCCACCTTCACACCCCACACTGCACACTCACCCCTCACACCCCACACTGCACTCCACCCCTCACACCCCTCACTGCACACTCACCCCTCACACCCCACACTGCACACTCACCCCTCACACCCCTCACTGCACACTCACCCCTCACACCCCTCACTGCACACTCACCCCTCACACCCCTCACTGCACTCTCACCCCTCACACCCCTCACTGCACTCTCACCCCTCACACCCCACACTGCACTCCACCCGTCACACCCCACACTGCACGCTCACCCCTCACACTCCTCACTGCACTCCACCTTCACACCCCACACTGCACGCTCACCCCTCACACCCCACACTGCACGCTCACTCCTCACACTCCTCACTGCACTCCACCTTCACACCCCACACTGCACGCTCACCCCTCACACCCCACACTGCACGCTCACCCCTCACACTCCTCACTGCACTCCACCTTCACACCCCACACTGCACACTCACCCCTCACACCCCACACTGCACTCCACCCCTCACACCCCACACTGCACTCCACCCCTCACACCCCTCACTGCACACTCACCCCTCACACCCCACACTGCACACTCACCCCTCACACCCCTCACTGCACACTCACCCCTCACACCCCTCACTGCACACTCACCCCTCACACCCCTCACTGCACTCTCACCCCTCACACCCCACACTGCACTCCACCCGTCACACCCCACACTGCACGCTCACCCTTCACACCCCACACTGCACGCTCACTCCTCACACCCCACACTGCACGCTCACCCCTCACACCCCTCACTGCACACTCACCCCTCACACCCCTCACTGCACACTCACCCCTCACACCCCTCACTGCACACTCACCCCTCACACCCCTCACTGCACTCTCACCCCTCACACCCCACACTGCACTCCACCCGTCACACCCCACACTGCACGCTCACCCTTCACACCCCACACTGCACACTCACCCCTCACACTCCTCACTGCACTCCACCTTCACACCCCTCACTTCACACTCACCCCTCACACCCCTCACTGCACTCTCACCCCTCACACCCCACACTGCACTCCACCCGTCACACCCCACACTGCACGCTCACCCTTCACACCCCACACTGCACACTCACTCCTCACACCCCACACTGCACACTCACCCCTCACACTCCTCACTGCACTCCACCTTCACACCCCACACTGCACACTCACCCCTCACACCCCACACTGCACTCCACCCCTCACACCCCACACTGCACACTCACCCCCTCACACCCCTCACTGCACTCCACCCTCACACCCCTCACTGCACGCTCACCCTTCACACCCCACACTGCACGCTCACCCCTCACACCCCACACTGCACACTCACCCCTCACACCCCTCACTGCACTCCACCCTCACACCCCTCACTGCACACTCACCCCTCACACCCCACACTGCACACTCACCCCTCACACCCCTCACTGCACGCTCACCCCTCACACCCCTCACTGCACTCCACCCTCACATCCCACACTGCACACTCACCCCTCACACCCCACACTGCACACTCACCCCTCACACCCCTCACTGCACTCCACCCTCACACCCCTCACTGCACGCTCACCCTTCACACCCCACACTGCACACTCACCCCTCACACCCCTCACTGCACTCCACCCTCACACCCCTCACTGCACGCTCACCCCTCACACCCCACACTGCACACTCACCCCTCACACCCCACACTGCACTCCCTCCGTCACACCCCACACTGCACGCTCACCCTTCACACCCCACACTGCACACTCACCCCTCACACCCCACACTGCACTCCACCCATCACACCCCACACTGCACGCTCACCCCTCACACCCCACACTGCACTCCACCCGTCACACCCCACACTGCACGCTCACCCTTCACACCCCACACTGCACGCTCACCCCTCACACCCCACACTGCACTCCACCCATCACACCCCACACTGCACGCTCACCCCTCACACCCCACACTGCACACTCACCCTTCACACCCCACACTGCACACTCACCCCTCACACCCCACACTGCACTCCACCCATCACACCCCACACTGCACACTCACCTGTCACACCCCACACTGCACACTCACCCCTCACACCCCACACTGCACACTCACCCCTCACACCCCACACTGCACACTCACCCTTCACACCCCACACTGCACGCTCATCCTTCACACCCCACACTGCACACTCACCCCTCACACCCCACACTGCACGCTCACCCCTCACACCCCACACTGCACTCCACCCGTCACACCCCACACTGCACACTCACCCCTCACACCCCACACTGCACGCTCACCCCTCACACCCCACACTGCACTCCACCCGTCACACCCCACACTGCACACTCACCCTTCACACCCCACACTGCACACTCACCCCTCACACCCCACACTGCACACTCGCCCTCACACCCCACACTGCACACGCACCCCTCACACCCCACACTGCACTCCACCTGTCACACCCCACACTGCACTCCACCCCCTCACACCCCACATTGCATGCCCACCCCCCACACCCCTCAATGTACGCTCACCCCTCACACCCCGCACTGCACGCCCACCCCCTCCCACCCCATACTGCATGCTTACCCCTCACACCCCACCCTACACTCCACCCCCTCACACCCTGCACTGTATGCTCACCCCCACACCCATTGCACACCCATCGCCTCACACCCCACACTGCACACCCACCCCCTCCCACCCCACACTACACACTCAACCCTCACACCCTGCACTGCACGCCCACCCCCTCACACCCTGTACTGCACACCCACCCCTTCACACCTTGTACTGCATGCCCATCCCCTCCCACCCCACACTGCACGCTCAACCCTTCACACCCCACACTGCACGCCCACACCCTCACACCCCTCGCTGAGCTCCACCCCCTCACACCCCGCACTGCACACCCACCCCGCACAGCTCCCAAGCTGCCCACTCATCCCCCTTGGCCACGTCAGCCACGCGTCCTCTAATCTTCGTTTTGCTTCAGCACCTCTGAGCTGGGGTCGTTGCTGCTCCCACAGACTGGCCCCTCTCACTCCCACCCCTCCCTCATTCAGGCCTCATTGCTTTCCAGCTGCATTCCTGGAATAACATCCTGATGGTTCTGTGCTCTTCAGTCCTTCTGTTTGACCACAAAAGATACTTAAGAGACACTAGATTTGGGTGGAAGATATGGTGTTTCAGTAACTAGAATATTCTTTCAGTCAGACTCCAACCCCCCTCTCCTCCCTGAATTCTCCCGGGAAGAGAATTCAGTGCGTCCAGTGTGTTCAGTGGGGTGGCGGAGAGTGTCCTTGGCAGGTGTCTGCTCGCTGGAGTCAGCCTTTGTCCCCCAGACACGCTGTGACTCTGTGATCTCACTCGCTCTGCAGCACCGTTCAGAAGGTGCTCCCTCCCTGAGAAGGATCTGACCCTTGGAAACCAGAGAGAAAAGAGAGGGGCCCGATTTCGGAATAAAAGTCTTTGTTTCACAAGCTCTTCCAACACCACAGACATGGGTGTCCCTGCCGTGTGACTTGGTCCAGTACGAGTGTGCTGGGATCTGCGTCACTGAGTGACTGGGCACCATCGCTCAGGGTACCTCCAGGCACTCAGACAACCTGAGCCGCCTGGACAAAGCCTCTGGGAGATAGGAGGATGTGAGGCAGGTGAGGACGGGGCCAGGAGAGGGGACATCCAGGGTCGAGCTGCTGCCATCAGGCCTACCTTGGTCAGAGAGCGTGGAGGTTAAAAGAGAAAAAAAAATCCATCCACTTCCTGGCAGCATCTCCTCAGAAAGCCTCTATCACCTCAAATGCAGCGAGCTTGATGATAAAATAGATTTTAGAAAATGTGTCTCAGATAAAACTTCCATTAAAAAATCCCCAAACCAAAGCAAACCCAAGAAAGATGGAGTTTCTTTTTTTTTTTTTTAAGGCGGAATCTCGCTCTGTTGCCCAGGCTGGAGTGCAATGGTGCCATCTTGGCTCACCACAACCTCCGCCTCCCAGGTTCAAGCGATTCTCCTGCCTCAGCCTCCCAAGTAGCTTGGGACTACAGGTATGCACCACCACGCCCGACTAATTTTTTAATTTTTTGTAGAGATGGGGTTTCACTATGTTGGTCAGGCTGGTCTTGAACTCCTGACCTTGTGATCCGCCTGCCTCAGCCTCCCGAAGTACTGGGATTACAGGCATGAGCCACCTCATCTGGCCCGAAAGATAGAGTTTCAGATGTGCAGTTGTGAGCAAGCGGTCTCACGTATGGGTGCAAGGGAGGTGGTTTGGGCTGTAAGTGATAGCTACTGTCCAGGAAGATGGGATTAAGCTTCTACCGGATGTGCCAGACTGCAGTGGGGGCTGAGACTCCACACGGGAAACTGGGAAAAGGCGCAAAGCCCGCCTGCATGCCACAGCTATGGGGTGGGTGGTGGGTGCTGGGCAGGCCCAGGCCCCAATCCTGGGGACAGGCAGAGGCAGCCGGGCCACGGGGAGCCCCAGAACCATGGAGGCGATGACCTGGTGTCGCCCTTCACAGGAGGAAGGCTGGGGTCTGCCTGGGGACTAGGACAACTCACAGCCTGGAGACTGGGTGGCAGAGCTGGGAGGATGGAGGGTAACTCAGCTGATCGGTCAGCCAGAGAGGGCTTAGGACAGCTGTGTGTGCTGGGCACCGTGCCGGCTTCGAGCATCAGAGGGACTTCCCACCTAGCCAGAGGGGCACAGAGACTTGATTTTGGAGCCCAGACTGTCTGCCTAGGCCCGGATCTCAGACTCTCTGTGGCCCGTGGCTCTCAGTGGCCTCAGATGTGGTGCAGAGCTAGCAGCCACATGTAGTCCCAGGCATGTGGGAACGAAACGAGCTCACAGAGAATGAGATCTGCTGCCCGGAAAGGCTGTGAGGAGCTCCCGTTATTTCAGTGCGGGAGGTGGCTTCCCGCCAGGGCTGTATGTCTCCTAATCAGGACACAGTGCTGCTCCCTCTTGTGTGTAAGGAAGGGCAGACACCAGCTTCATTTCTCCCTCCCCATCAGCTCTCTATTGTGTGTAGGGAAGGGCAGACACCAGCTTCATTTCTCCCTCCCCATCAGCTCCCTCTTGTGTGTAAGGAAGGGCAGACACCAGCTTCATTTCTCCCTCCCCATCAGCTCTCTCTTGTGTGTAAGGAAGGGCAGACACCAGCTTCATTTCTTCCTCCCCATCAGCTCGCTCTTGTGTGTAGAGAAGGGCAGACACCAGCTTCATTTCTCCCTCCCCATCAGCTCGCTCTTACCACCATTTCAATACATGCAAGCAATTCCCGTCTTAAAGCGGAACGGCTGCAAAGCCCCAGAGCCCCTCTCTAGTGGCTGCGCGTCTGCAGCTCACCTGAGGTCTGCACTCCAGGACTCCGCCTTGCTCTCCACAATCCTGCCCCTTTGTCCAGCTGGGACAGCCCCTGGCCCCTAGGCGGTGGGTCCCAGGCCACTCCAGCCGTCCTCCCACCAAACTCAGCAGCACCTGTGCAGTGGGCATGGCCTGCCCTCCTGGCTTCCTCCCAGGCTCTCCCACAGCTGGCAGGTACTCCTGGTGATACTGCCCTGAACCCCCTCCCTGAGCCATCCCTCAGCCCCTGTGTGTGCCCACAATGCCCAGCTCTGTGCCCACTTCCCAGCTGATGTGTTGCAGTCACCTCTGTGTTGGCAGATTCTGCCTCCTGTGCTCAGCCAGGGATGGCCCTGAGGCTGCCTCTACAGCTCTGAGAGCAGACGCTGCTGCCCCCTTTAGCTCCCCTCAGCCCTGCGGTGCCCTAAGCCATGGAGGCCTGCTGGCCGTCCCCGCCGTCTTCCTCAGGATCTAGCTTTTCTCACTGCATGCCCTCAGCCAGGCCCACTTCCCCGGGTCCGACCTGCCCCGGGCTGCTTTGCCAGCCTGCATCTCCACTTATCCTCCCCTACAGCTGGCAAGGTTTCAAATACACGCATCTGCGTATACAGAGGGAGCTCTGCTCCTGTTGAGGTTCCACTGCTCCCCTGCCTTTAGGATGAGGTGGGAGATGGTTGTTGTGGCCAGAAAGGCCTGTGTGGCCTGTTTATTGAGTAAAATGAGTCTTTCTGGGGAGGGGTCCTTGCCTCTCTTCTGAGCCGGAGCCCTTGTCCAGCCTTTGTAATGCGGGGGCCCGTCCCCTGCAGGCCTCCCGTGTGAGTGTGGCCAGCTGCGCAAGGCCATTGGGGAGATGGATGACCAGGTCTCCCAGCTGACCAGCGAGCTCAAGTTCATCAAGAATGGTACGTGGCTCCGGCGCTGCCCTCCCTCCCACCCGCCTCCCACCTCCCACCTCCCACCTCCCACCTCCCAGCCTGTCTGAAGCACCCCAGTGAAGGCCCTGCTGTGCCCACACCTGCCCTGCCCGCCCCTGCTGCGGATGGCTGTGCCTTAAGTCTGTGGCAGAGATGCAAGTGCTGGCTTTTCAGCCCCGCCCTCCCCACAGCCGTCGCAGGTGTACGGGAGACGGAGAGCAAGATCTATCTGCTGGTGAAGGAGGAGAAGCGCTACGCAGATGCCCAGCTGTCCTGCCAGGGCCGCGGAGGCACACTGGGCATGCCCAAGGACGAGGCTGCCAACAGCCTGATGGCCACATACCTGGCGCAGGCCGGCCTGGCCCGGGTCTTCATCGGCATCAATGACCTGGAGCGGGAGGGCGCCTTCGTGTACTCTGACCGCTCCCCCATGCAGACCTTCAACAAGTGGCGCAGTGGCGAGCCCAACAATGCGTACGACGAGGAGGACTGTGTGGAGATGGTGGCCTCGGGCGGCTGGAACGACGTGGCCTGCCACACCACCATGTACTTCATGTGCGAGTTCGACAAGGACAACATGTGAGCCTCGGGCGGCTGCCCACTGGGGGCCCCGCGTGTCCCTGCAGGGTTGGCAGGGCCAGCGCCCAGGTCACGGTGACAGCCCGGGAGCTGTCCCTCTGCGCAGAGGGCAGTCACTCCAGGGCAGAGGCTCATGGAATGGAGGGAATGGTGCAGGCTTCAGAGGAAAAGGAAAGTGCCCGGGGTTCTGTGTCTGGAGAGGCAGTTTCACTAACGGTATTGTAGCCCAAATGTCACTGTGTAATTATACCCAGAATTGCTCTTCCCTAAAGCTCTTGCCTTTGTCCGAGCGATCCAATAAAGTCTGTAGTGCAGTAGTTAAGTACAAACAGTGGTACTGGGGTCTTGAATTACTAGCTTTTAATTTCTATATGGAAAATAACTCGCTTAACTTTGACAAACGCTTCTGTAAATTACATTAAGATATAGCTTCCTTTGCACTATTATCCAACTAAAAACAATTTTGCTTGGCTTCAAACCCAGATTTCAGAGAAACAACAACAAAATTCTCCAAACTTTACTACTAAATGTGTTCAGTCATTTTTTCCTTAATTTTTTCAATAGCTGTATTAGTTATCTTTAATTTTCATGAATTAATTTTCGTGGAGGTGAGGTTTTGCTATGTCGCCCAGGCTGCCTTGAATTCCTGGGTTCAGGCGACCCACCCCGCCTCGGCCTCCTGGGTAGCTGGAACTCCAGGCAGGAGCCACTGCTCCCAACTTGTATTAGTTTTCTATTGCTGCCTAACAAATTACCCCAAGACTCAGCGACCTAAGACAGAAAGATTTATTACCTCGCAGATCAGGAATCTGCACAGGGCTTAGCTCAGTCTTCTGCTTCAGGGCGTCTCCCAAGCTGGAACCCAGGCCGCTCCTCGTGTGTTTGGGCAGAACTCAGGTCCTCCTGGGTTGTTGGACAGAGGGCCTCAGTTTCCCACCAGCTGTGGGTCACAGCTTCCTGCAGTTCTGTCACCTTCCCCAGAGCAGCCCAGGAGAAGAGCTGAAGAGAGAAGCCTCGGCCCTTCCTAAGCTGATCTGGACGTGCCCTGCTATCTGTGTCCACCGCCTCGCCGTAAAGGAACCCCGAGGCTGGGCAATAGATCAAGAAAGAGGTTTATTTGGTTCACGGTTCTGCAGGCTGCACCAGAAGCATGGTGCCAGCATCTGCTCCTCGTGAGGCCTCAGGCTATGTCTGCTCTTGGAGGAGGGGGAGGGAGAGCCCGTGCCCACAGAGATCACCTGGGGGAGGGAAGCTGCAAAGAAAGAGAGGGAGGCACCAGGCTGTTCTGCCTCATCACGTTGGGGAATGGAGAGGGTGGGAACTCGCTCACTACGGTGAGGACTGAGGCCTGACCATGGCACCAAGACACTCACGAGGGGCCCCAATCCCTGACCCAAACACCTCCTATCAGGCAACACCAGATCCAGAGAGGCCAAGCAGGAAACCACAGCACGTGCCTTCCCTCTGCCGTGCTCTGCTGGCTCGAGGCCAGGCACCCGGGACAGCCCACACATGGGGGGAGTCCGGGAGGTGGGGACCGCTGGGGGTCAGTTCACCAGGAGGCAGGGACCGCTGGGGGTCAGTTCACCAGGAGGCAGGGGCCGCTGGGGGTCAGTTCACCAGGAGGCAGGGGCCGCTGGGGGTCAGTTCACCAGGAGGCAGGGGCCGCTGGGGGTCAGTTCACCAGGAGGCAGGGGCCGCTGGGGGTCAGTTCACCAGGAGGCAGGGGCCGCTGGGGGTCAGTTCACCAGGAGGCGGGGGCCGCTGGGGGTCAGTTCACCAGGAGGCGGGGGCCGCTGGGGGTCAGTTCACCAGGAGGCGGGGGCCGCTGGGGGTCAGTTCACCAGGAGGCGGGGGCCGCTGGGGGTCAGTTCACCAGGAGGCGGGGGCCGCTGGGGGTCAGTTCAGAAGTGGCCTACCTCAGTACCTCACAGTTATTTTTTTTTGTATTTCCGAATCCCAATAAAAATGACATATCTTCATTTCTGAACTAGAACACAGGTCCAGCTCACCCAGCTGGTACCGTGGGGCGATGGAGTGGAGCCGCTCCCAGGGCTCCTGTATTTGTGCTCATCCTGCGAGGGAGGTTTCCACGGCCCTCTGCGCTCAGTTATCTGTTCTGGGTGTTTGTACAGGGGGAAGGCTTGGAAGATAAAGAGAGTGTCTCCCTCCCCCATCTCCCCTCCAGAGAACAAGGCAGGTTTGCCTGCAGCCTTGGAAAATAGAGCGAGTGTCTCGTTCTGGGGCACAGGCAGGCATGGTTACCGTCCAGTATAATAAAGATGGTATCTCCCTCCAGGAGAAAAGGGCAGGCACGCGTCCTATCTGCCAGAGAAGAGCCGGCTTCCCTAGGCTCCGGGGTCCTCCGTAATGGACCCACCGCAGGTTCAGGTGCTGTCTGCCTTCTTCCTAAACCCTGCAGGGAGTGGAGCTCAGGGTACTGCTGCAGAAATGCCGATTCCCTCTCTGAGCCGGGAGTCTCATGTCTTCAGCCGGCACCCAAGAACCTGGGCCTGTAAGGAGGGTAAAATCTCAGCCCTTTCACCATTCTTGACATTTCCTTGACTTTAATTCTCATCTCTTTGGAAGGACATAGCAAAAGTTTATTCCAGACATGAGCGGTCCCTGGTTTGGCTGCATGGGAAGAGGAACACCTTGTCTTCATGGAGCAGGTTCCAGTGAGTGATGCACAGCTGGAGAAGCAGGTGCCGGGCCTCGCCTGCTGGAGGGGAGCCCGGGAGAGCCGCCAGGCTTTGGCTTCACTGGCGCAGACTCCGTGTATGAGAGACTGAGTCTTCCTGCAGGTGCGTATATCCTTCTGGTGCTCACAAGTGACGGCAGCCGTTCGCTCACCCTCTATCTGCTCGCCGCACATTCTCACTCAGCAGTCAGTCTGGACAGTTCTGCTTCTCACTCTATCAGACCCATGATTCTCCATGTGGCAGTTCCACCAATACCTGGAGTGGAGCTGAGGCATTCGGTGATGATGCTGTGTGTGTGTTGGTGGGGGGGCCAGGCTGTGTGTGGGGAGGGCGGTCACTGAGCAGGTCATCTCACTGAATGGGCAGGTCCTCAGTGGTCCCCACTTCCGGTCTCACAGGCTGTGTTCTGCTGTCCATCGTCCTCATGAGGACGCAGAACCACTTTCTCAGCTCCCCACCCCTCAGCCCTCAGCCCCCCATTGCCTCGGAACTCTCTGGTTGACTGAGGTTGGCCTTGAAATATAGGGCCCCAGGCAGGCTGTGGGATTGAGTGTGTTAGACCATGTAAAGGTCATTTGTAATATGTTCAATGCAACACACACATATGTCTAAGAAGTAGAAATCCTCCTTTTCTTTAATCAACTTTGCTCTAGTTGGGGGTCAGTTTTTCTAGGCCTTTTTCAAAAGCGTGCATATGCACACACACACATGTGATTATATGCACACACATGATTATATGCACACCCACATGTGATTATATGCACACACATGATTATATGCACCCACACATGATTATATGCACACACACGCAATCATATGTACACACACATGCAATATGTGCACGCACACACGTGATTAAAACGTTAACTGGAGAACGGGTGGGTGGCATGCCTTCTTCATCGACAACTTGTCTTGGAGCAGTTCCCATGCTGCTTATGGGGTCTGCCTGCTCCTTCCATCCTGCCACAGAGTATTCCAGAGTGCGGCCCCTGGGGTCACTCACCATCCTCTCCTGATTGACGCTAGCGCTGTCTCCAGCCCTCACCCTCTGGGGGTCACGCACCCTCTCCTGATGGATGCTAGTGCCGTCTCAGCCTTCATTCTTGCAACAGGCCTGCCTCAGGCTCCTGGACTGCACTTTGAGGTGCACCCCCCACCACTGAGACCCCATCTGAAGGGGAGAAGCAGAGCTGGCAGCTCAATGGCTGCACTTAGAGTTTTGAGAACCGATCCGGCGCCGAGTCTAGATTTGTTATTTGCAGGTGGCAGAGGAGAGACCAGGCTCTGCTGATGATGGTGCTGTGGGTGGGTGTGGGGGCAATGGATGGTGGGTGTCCTGGGGGCAGCAGTGCCAGGGACCCCGGCAGCCCTGCCAGCCTCTCCACCCTATGCTTATCTTGAGTCTGGACCCTCAGGGTGGGAGGAGGAGAGATCTTTGGCCTAGAGAGGTTTGTTCTCTTCCATTTCTTCCCCCATTAAGGAGCAGAGGTAATTATTTTAATGGATGAGTCTTATTCATTATGTGGAGTGGCTTCTCCCTGACATGTCTCCAAGTCAAACAGGAAAGCATGTCTTCCCATCTGTCTGTAATGAGCCTTTCACATGCTCGAGGCTGCTCTGCCTAGGCTGGGGGAGCCAAGATGCTCGTGTCACTGGAGACGCTCTCGTGCACACATGGTGTTGGTTCTGTGCATGCGAGGCTGGCTGGCTCTTCCTCACCTGCTCAGGAGCGTCCACTACCCACAGAGCCTCCCTGGCTGCCCCAGGCCCACCAGTCCTGGGTGCCGCTGGGCTTTGGGACCCTGTGGGGTGTGGGCTACTGCCCTCAGAGTGGGTGGAGACCCTGCTTCCATGTGTGGATTCCCTGGTTCCCTGGCCACCAGGGAGCCTGCCAGCCAGGCCTCCACTCCCACAGGGCTGCCTGCAGCACCTCTGTCCCTGTCTCCACAGGCCGTGGGCTGCCCACTGCCCCCCATTCTCTGCTACAACACCAACCCCGTCCTCCTGTGAATTCACTCGGACAGATGGCCGCCTGTTCCGCCGGCACATCACATGATCCGCTGTGGCCCAGGCTGGGGCACGCCAAGTGACAGTATGATCTTCATGAAGTAACTGAAAGTTCCTAGTCCTCAGTGTCCTCATCTGTGGAGTGAATGATTTTCACACCTCCCACTGGGGGATTGTGAGGATTACATGACACCGTGTGCGCAGAGCAGTCAGCGTGGTGGAGTGCTGGGCGTTGAGTACTGAGCACTTGAGCCCGTAGAGAAGCCACCGGACAAAGCAGCAGTGACAGCCCCGGACAGTAAGTCCTCGTGCACGTCATAGCTTCTGGGAATGGCAGGCTCAGGTGAAGTGTCTGATGAAACCAGTTCCACACTGGGCGAATTGACGAGCAAGACTGCTGTGTCCAGAGCGTAACTCTGATCGCAGTTATCACCCGACTTCGAAACAAAGACTCCAAACACTCCTAATATCAAATTCTGCAGTAGATGTGGTCTACACACACATTTAAGAAAGATTAATAAAAACAGATCCGTGTCACCAAGTGATTCCGGTTCAGGGGTGCGGGTGGCCTGAGCCTGACCTGGCAGCTCAGGGTGCTGGGTGGCCTCCAGTCCTGGAGA